CTCCCAGTACACACACACCCCCAGTGCTGGGACTGGGCTGTCTCCCTGCCCCAGTGCTCCCAGTAACCCCCCCAGTGCTGGGACTGGGTTGTCTCCCTGCCCCAGTGCTCCCAGTAAACCCCCCAGTGCCCTCCCAGTACCTCCCAGCCCATTGCTTTCAGTGCTCCCAGTTCCCTACTCAGCCCCAGAGCTCCCAGTGCCCTCCCAGTAACTCCCAGTGCCCTCCCAGTACCCCCCAGCCTACTTCCCCAGTGCTCCCAGTGCCGCCCCAGTGCTCCCAGTGACCCCCAGTCTCCCCCACCACAGCCAACAGATCCCACGATCCCCACAGGAGCAGGGCTCAGTCCCCTCCCAGCCCCTCAATTTTCCCGCTAGAAATGGGCATTTTGGTTAAATTAGCTTTTTTTTTTTTTTTCAAGAGCAGAAGTGTCTCTTTTTGTCAGTTCTGCCACCGGTAGATATTTTTTTCACTTTTTTTTTTTTTTTTTGTTAAAAACCAGCCAAAAAAACGGCCTAAAACCAGTTTCGCTTTCTGCCCTGGGACCTTTTTTTATTGATTTTTACAGGAAGTTTCTCAAACGGGGCTCAAATTTCATAATTTGGGGGGGTGGGGGGGAGGGAGCTCCCCTGGTTAATTTTCAACCCGAGGAGGGAATTTCATTACCTGATCCTCAGCGATCGATAACGTAGAAATTCCCCCAAAACCTTGATTATTTTTTTGCTTCTAAGCCTTTAAAACAAACAAAAATGAACGTTACGACCGCACCGCCATTTTTAACCAAATTCCATCGCTTTCGGCAATTTTCAGCCACTGGGATGGGTCTGACAGGGCCGTTTTATTTTGGGCCAAAAAAAGACGGAATGGATAGAAAAAAAACCAAACAAACCCCACAAATTTTTATTGGGTGAAAATGTGCTGAATTAAGAGACATCCAAGTGAGCAAAATTGGGGATTTTTGTGTTTTTGGGTTTTTTTGTCACAGCTGGGGAGAGACGGGGGCTGGCGCATGGGGGAGGGAAGGATAAAAATGGAAAAATCCATTAAAAATTGGGGGGGGGGGGAACGGATTTTACTGAAATTGTCTTTTCTGAGAGTTAAGAAGAAACCGTGACGTGGCAGCAAAGTTGGGGAGAAAAAGGAGAAATTCAGCACTGCTGAGAAATGCGACTGGTTTTGCACCGGTGAGTGGGGTTTTAACCTTTTTGCCGTGGTTATTTCAACTGAAAATCTCTTTTTTTTTTTTTTTGGCAAGTTTGGGGGTCAGAAGGATTTTATTTTTTTTTTTTTTTTTTTTTCTCAGGGATTTGTATATCATTAATAGGCAAAAAAAAAAATGGGTGCGTGGAGCTTCCGGATCCTCGCAAAAAAAAAAAAAAAAAGAGAAAAAGGAGGAGAAAAAGGAAAACGGGAAAATAATAAATTAAAAAGGAGCCGCGCGGCAGCGGAACTCACAGGAGAAGGTAAAAATTTGTATTTCGAGGGAAGAAAACCGCTAAAAATCTCTATTTTGTTTTAACCACCGGCAAGAAAATGCGCCGATAATACCATTTTCCCAACGTAAAACCCCTTTGGTTTATGTAAAACTGCAAAAAAACCACCATTTTGGTGGGTCAATTCACCTTTTTCCATTTATTTTATGATTCTTTCCCTGTTTTGGGGGGAATTTTTACCTAAAATTTACCCGTTGGCCGTTAGTCCAGACCCAAGTGCCTTCCACCAGCTGATCCATCACTCCCAGCCGATACGTGCTGCTGCTCTTAATATTATCCTACAAGAAATTCTTTCAAAAAAAGCGCAAAATTGGTTAAAACACACCCAAAAACCGTAATTCCGGTGAGCGACGGAACATCTCGAGGCTTTTGAGGTCATCGCCGCGATATCTAAGCAGGTTTTTTGGTAAATAGCCAATAATTTGGGTAGATTCAAGCAAAGCGCATATGCAGGACTCCAGAAAGATGTTGAATGTTTTTTTTTGGGGGGGGGGTCCGTTTTAGCACTTTTTTTTCTAATAAGAAGTCGTAGTCAACGGAATTCATTTTGACCGCCAACGCTTCTCTCCACCTCCAAATATCTCTGAGCCCATTGGCCAATCTTGATTAATTTGAGCCAAAAAACCAAATAATTTAGATTTCCTGTGTTGGCCAGAGTAGGAATTTTCCCAAAAAATGGGTATTTTGGGCCCGGTATAAGCTGAAAAACTGGTTGTTTTTCACTCAACTGACCTGCTTCGGCTTCGAGTTGATGATGACCAAGTGAGCGCCTTGGTTGGCGCAGATCTCCTGCATGTCCGACCAACTCATGGTCTCCGTTGAGAAGAAATAACAGCTTTTCTCTAAGATCTTCCAACCGGCCAAGCATTTCTTGTCATCCGTGACCAATCTGCAGATCAACGCTGGAAAGATGGAATAAAAAAAACCAAAAAAAACCAAAACCAAAACCCAGGAAAAAAGTCACCTTTTCTCCACTGGGAAAAACCTCCATGGATTCTTTAGCAAGGCGGTATCTCAAAGTTGGTGTAAATCACCCACATTTTCCATCCGTCTGAATTTTTGGGGTTCAAACCGGGAGGTTCCTCTCCCACTTAAAAAAAAAAAACCCACAGGTTTTCTCCACCGGGAAAAACCTCCACGGCTGCTTTAGCAAGGCGGTATCTCAAAATTGGTGTCAATCACCCAAATTTTCCATCTCTCTGCATTTTTTGGGGGGGTTCATACCGGGAGGTTTTGTCTCCTGGTGGGTCATCCCCCCTATTCTCATTTAATTAATCACCCGTTTGGAAGCAATTAAGGATTTTGCCCATTATATTTGATTTTTTTGCAGAATTTTCGGTAGGATTTACATCCCTCCCTCCCTTTAACAGCGATAACAGGATGGATTTTTCTCCCATTAAGATCCTCATCAGGAAAAATCCCGTGATATCCCAAGGGTTGGTCTGTTCCTTATTTACACCCTTTTGGGGCTAATTCGTTCAGAATTGGGGCACGAGCTTAGTCGGCGTCCGATCTACATCATTTACCCCAGTGTAATTCCCGGCAGAAATCAGCAATAACTCAGTCAACGCCGGCGTTGCTTTATTAAGCAGCACCAGGAGCTGCTCA